TTTAACATCTTGTTATATGCATATGCTACATGTTACATGCACATGCAGTTTAAAAAATAAGTGGATTTTACAATCCATCAACAGTCGCTTCTTGATCAATGGATAGATGGTTAGTTATCATAGTTTTCCCACTACTTTTTGGTTTTGATCCTACAGTGTTGTAACTCTATGACAACGTAAATCATACAGTATTTATTTTCTCCATCCCAATTCTAGGCTAAATATCATTTTTCTTTACTTCTTCTATTTGGAAATTTGTAATAGGTCATCACGTGATTTTCATCTAGAGAGTAAAAGGATTATGTCTTAAAAAGAATTTTAGACTTTTTAAAACTGAAAATTAAAAGGAATCCAATATCATACTTGGTTGTAGAAACTTGTAAGCCACACATCTATAATAATCACAGGGTGCTTTGTACAGACGGACTTCAACTCATCAAAAAATACCATTTTGCCATTCTTTCCTGTTGGGTTCTAAATTTCAAATAACCAGGCTGCCTTCAGATGCTTCTATTATCCTTTCTTCATGGCTGCACACTGTGATGCATAAAGGAGGAGAAATCAAAGTTGTCAGCCATATGAGAATTTTAATGTATCAAACATCAGTTCTAAATACATTTCTATTGCATTTCAAAAACAAAACATGAGTGATTTGGTCTAAAAAGTCAGTCTGGTTCATTAACCTATAACTGTACAAAAGCAAGAGTCAATTACATTGCCACATCAGATGTGCGTTGAGATAATTACCCTGAAAAGAAGATGTAAGTATGCCCATAAAGGCAGTGAAATGTGACCTATTAAATCAGGCTGTAACCTATTATGGGTCAAAAACCACATTTGTAGGGCCAGCAGTCTCCTGCCTATATCCACTCTTGCATGAATTCTGCAGGTGTCTTTCATAAGTATATTTTCTATCTGTCTTTTATTTCAATTTGGAGTCCCGTCTGCCTATCTTTTCTACTCCTAGCTATCAGGAATGCATATACACACTTCACAGAATTCATTTCCTACTTAAAATTACATCCTTTGAAATCTATTGGCAAGACTGGACATAACAACAGGCAAGACCAGGCTGTATTAAATCAGCAGAGAGCCATTTGGGTTCAGTTTCCTGTTATTTCTCATCTTGTTAATACTCTTGTAACATTGATTTCTATCTCCAAATGCAACATCTGTTATGGTGAGAAATCAAATGAGTCAATGATCAAACTGATCATAGATTTCCTAGTGTGAGAGGGGGAAAATATTTACTGTTGTCTTTATAGTGCAGCCAGTGACAACACAGATAAGATGGTGGGCTGGCCAAATCATGGCTGCCCTTTTAGGAATTGGGTGCATTGAAGGATGCTCATTACTGGATAGCTCAATGTAGAAATAAATGATATTTTTTTTCACATGTCAAGATGGAAATGAGAAGGATACTCTTATGAAGAGGATATGCAGGCCAGGTTTCTGCTTCTAAAAATTAGAAGGCTTTTCTAAAACTGGATATGTTGCATTTGAAGACACACTATCTTTTCTCAGATAACACAAAGAAGATAGTCTGAGGTATACATTAGTCTTATTTGGCAGGAACCAAAAAGATGCTTGAAAGTTTGAAAAACTACTAGAAAGACTCCTAAAACTCGATACACAGTTCACTCATGTATAAGGCTTATGATAGACAAGAGAATCACGGGAAAAGACAGGCATCTCTATGTTGTATGTACAAAGAGCATTAGTATAATACAGCAATCTTTTCATAAAGGAATGTATTCAAATCAAGGTCCCAAAGGGCAGCTAAAGGATGATCTTGCAAGAAGACTTTTCAACAAACTACCACAATTTCAACCTGGCAATATTAACTCTTTTTTTGCACAAATACAGCTGCCATGAAATACATCTTTGCTTTATTAAACTGAAAATCATATCAGCATGTAATTGAAAATGAATCAAACAAGTCAAGAAAACTTTGTTTAAACATATTTATGATCTATGTGGAAGTACAAGAGGCTTTCTCCATTCAGGCTCTTTCATGTTCTTTCCAACACTTCTTGGCAAACCTTTCTGATTGTAGATTCCTCAGCAATACCTTTTTGCGTCTCAGTAGAGCTTGGATTGCTTTGCAACATCACTTGTGACATAATTTAAATGTTTGTCCATTTATTTATTATATTCTCTTTTTGAGCAATTTCTTCTCTTATAAGCATACATCCAAACACATAAATATGACCCAAAATTCAAAATTTAACTCAAATATCATCTTTTGTTTTCCTAATAACGTTTACTGGAATGAATCTCTAGCTCTCAGGCCAGTATCTTGCTATCTCTATCATACAACACACGTAATACTTTTCTCTCCAAATCTAAAAGCCACGTGACGAGCAAGACTAGTCCAATCATAATGGAATTTGGTACTCTTTATGTGTCCTTTGTCACACACTACTGATATCTAGTACAGTGCTTGGACATGGTAGGCACTGGTGAAATGTATGTCAGATGGATAGATGGGTGAATAATATACAAAGGTATTGAGTAGGCACCTGAGAATTGTGCTCAAAATGGTCATACATAACAAAAGGGTTTGCACACTTTCCAAGAAAGGTCTGTTGGCAGAGCATGGATCACAATGTTACAGCGCCATTTTACTTTGCAAAATTCAATTCTTTGTTCATAATTTCACACGTAGGTAGAAATATGGCAGTCTTTCCTGGGAGAAAATCATATTTAATATCAAGTCAATGAGAAGAAGGTGTGGGTTTGGAATATGTTTCATTTAGAAATCATTGATGGTTTAAATAGGAGCCTCCTCCCTCCAACACAAAGCTCATCTGTTTGGGTCTTAGTTGACAGCTGGTTGTCTTTAGAGGACTGAGAGACTCCTGAGGGCTGGGCCTTCATCGGTGGTTTAACCCTTTCACAGATAAACGATAGCACGTGATGAGTGGGAGAAGTTGGAAGCCTTCAGAAATGGCCTCTTACGTGGAGGAACTATGTCACTGGAGACGTGTTTTGGTAACTATACTTTGTCCCTGTCCTCCTACTCTTGTCTCCGTCTGCTTTCTGTCTTTGAAGAGGAGAGCTGCTTTTGCTCTTCCACATTCTCTGTGCCATAATGAGCCAAATATAAATCTTTCTTCCTCTACAATTGTTTCTCTCAAGTATTTGTCACAGTGAAGAAATGCCTGACAATCCCAAGTCCTGAGTGTAAAGAGGATCATTTTTCACTTTGCCCCAACAATTCTGGCTCTGTCCCAAAAGGTTCAGAATGTCTCTGAGGGATTCACACTGAAGTGAAAGCCAGCAGGGGGAAACAGAGACAAACTGCAAGGTAGAAGGGCAGGACCAAGGTCTTACTCTTCTATGAACTAAGAAATCGCTCAGTATTTCTAACTGAGCTACTCAATGACATACTTAGAGGAACATAAAGCACAGTGCATTCTAAAACTGTTCAACAGTTTATCAATAGGGAACAAAAATACATCACTGTCAGTGCTGCCTGTTACCCTGTCACCTTCGTTTCTTCTGTCACAGGATTGCATTCTAGCCATTTGTGAAAACCACTCACACTTCATGCTTTTCTGGCAGCCTTCATGCTGCTGTAGCTGCCTTTCATCCAACATATTCAAAATAGCCCCTTCACACGGAAGGCACATTTTGCTTTTCACAAAGCAAGTCCAATTGTAAAGACTTCTGTAGTAAGCATATTACAATAAAAATTCAAATATATCTACTTTGTAATATGATTTTTTTCATCTATCAAGCTTCCCTTCACCAGGATCACCCTCCATTCTGTTGGGAGAAATGACAGGCCACCCAGAGCCTGGGGGCTATTTCCAATACACATATATGTATACACACAAACATATACATACATATATATTTATATATATTAACAGTAGAAATGCTAAGCTTCTTGGCTTCCTATTGTTTTCACTTGTAAATGGGAGAGAATATTATCTACTTCAAAAGGCTATAGAAGCAAATTAAGGGAGAAATTCAGAGATAAAAAATAAATGGTATGGCAACAAAACCTGATTATTGATCATGATTTTGATTTTCTCTTGAACTTGATCTTGAACTATGGACTTTATGACATCCAAGGGGCAGATGTTAGTTGGCTAAGGGGAACCATATGCCACTTAATCGTCAGTTGCATAACAAAATAAATAGGCCTCCATAACTTTCTGCCACCACAAATATATCTTACAAACATGACATGTAACATCTGCTCTATCATATAATTTTCCTTTGGAATTTATTCTTGATGTGATACCTATCAAAAAGACTTTCTGTAGCCCAAGTCATTACTTCTTTGAAATGGAACGGTCCTACAGACCACAGTAACTTACAAATGTGTATGACTATGTGTGTGGGCACTCACGCATGCGCATGTGTCCACTTCTGGTCTCATTTGAAAGAAAATCCCTAAAATCGACTACAAAATTGTCAGCAAAGGCAACAAGAGTGGAAAACAGCATGCTTGCACCTTTGTAAACCTGGAAAGAAGTGTAAACTACATCTAATTTTATGTCCTCTTAAAATTAGCTCTCATTTGTGGAGGAGAGAAATCAGTTGGAAGTAACCTAGAAGCAAGTCTAAGATGCAGAAGCCACCAGGGTCACTGTTCTACTATGGGAAGTACATGTGACCAGATCACAGAATGATAGAGTGATAGATGATTTAATAAATCATAGGAATGGAGGAACGTGGGACTGGGAAGAGAACTGACAGCTGTGGGTAGTATTGGAAGGGAGCTGGGCAGAGGACTGAAAAGTGAGTAACTTCCAGAGGGAGTACTAGTTTGAGCAGGCCCTTACAAGCCAAGAAAGTGGGGACATTCAAGTATTCCAAGGAGCACAAAGAAATACCAAGGAGACAGAATGAGTCCCAGGGTAGCCATTAGTTTATAAGAATTCACCTGGTCTCCCAAGTCTTCTCACATTGAAGCCACATATTACTATTCCTTCTTTGCAATGTCCTGACCTACTTCACAGAAATGTGAGAAGGAAAAAGGAGAAAACACTCATCAACCTAATAGTCATAGTTTCGCTAGCAGTGCTTTAAGCAGAAGTACACACAACAAATGGATCTCATTGCTTTCTAAGGGTTGTGACTGTGCCCCTTAAAGTGAATTTTGAGGATCTTGGGGCCCAGTGGGGCCTGTCACTTTGGGCAGTTGCTAGGCTTGATGGTGCCTTACCTGTTTCTAAAGACCAGGACATGGGCACAATGATCTCACCCTCTCCATCTAGATCATGATGTGGAGGAAATTCAGGCAAGCCTATCTTGTTGGCTGGCTTTCAAGCAGTTCTAGGACTCCAAAATTCAAGTACTGTTGTCCTACCATGTCCTGTATTACCAGCACAAGCTATGCTTCATCACCAAGAAGAGAGATTTCTGACTCTCCTGGGATGGCCAATCAATTTACAGCAAAAATAGAAAGAAAAGAAAGACAATGGATTTCAATGATATATGTAAATATAAATTGGTATAGAATTGCATATTACTCATTAAAAAACATTAAATATCCTTTACCTATATTACCAGCCAAGTTGTGAAAATGAAGCTGTCATATGTTCATTAAAGATAACCAACCAAGTTGACAATGCCAATAATCACCCTCTATCAGGATAGTGTAATTTGTTTGTCGGCACTTTTAAGTTCTTAGCAAATTCATTTGTTCAGCATGTGGTTGCAGGGATATTATGAAGTCATAATATCCTATGTGCTAAGACTAGCTTTAGGTTGCTGGTTAAGGGTAAACATCCCAACAAACCCCACAGTTAGGTGGAAGTAAATTAGCTTGTATAACAAAAGTTTTCAACTGGCAACTGTCTTCTGAGTCCATCACTGGGGATGTGTTTTTGGCCTCTTTTTTCTTTTTCTTGTGCCAGTATTGAAGCTTGAACTCAGGGCTTTATACTCTGAGCCACATTTGAACTTCTCTGGCTTTTTGCTGGTTAATCGGAGAGAAGAATCTCATGGATTTTTCTGCCTAAGCTAGTTTTGAAACTAAATTCCCCAGATTTCAGCCTCCTTAGTAGCTAGGATTACAAGCATGAGGCACCAGTGACCAGCTTTGTTGGCTTCTTAAAACTAGAAATCTTCTCAAAATGGTCATATTGACAATTGCCCATCAGGTCACAATCGTAATACCTTCCATGATGTCATAGTCTCATATCAGCCCTTTTGCTTAAGATGTACTAATGTTTAGCATTTTACAGTCACTTAACTATAATCATTTAAACTACATCCTTCAACCACATTAATACTAAAATTGATTTTATGGTAACTTAGCAAATTTGTCTGGCATTGAGCATCTTCTTTCCCTTCAGAATGCCCTTCTTTAACATGACACAATAGAGGAGCCCCTAGTTTTATAATTCATGCTAGTAATAGAACCATGCAAGAAATTAGTTTCACATAATATTTCAAGTATATTAGGCTAGTCCTTACACTTTAATACTAGTTCTTTTCTCCTTTTAGACCAAAACCTACCAACCAGACTCATAAAGTGAAATGTGAAGGATGAAGAAAGCTACCACCATCCACATTGAAAAAACAATTCTCACTTTAGTACTTCCTTTGGCATTTCTGAGCCCAGAGAAATTTTGAGAGAACACTAAGCCACAAGCTGATTAGGATCATAGAATTAAAGAAACCTCAGGCAACACTACCTTAAATAATCCTTGACAGATCAGAATCTTCCATGTTTATAAATACTTTCATGGAAACGACACGCACAACTTCTCTTAGTAAATTTTTGGAACATTTTAAAGAGCCCCATATGGTAAACCATTCAATGCTACCTAAACAGAAGTCCTACATTCTCTGCCACTGTTACATTTTTATGTAGAGAAAAACTCTACTCACAATCAAGAAATAAAGACTTACTACATAAATTTCTAGCAGCCCGTATGTTTCTATCAAAGATGGAATTAGGAGTTTCATAATCCACAATAATGTGCGTCACTTTCGAATGGAATTAATTTAATGGTAAATGATAAAATTGTTCTATGGAGCTTATGGGGTTTTACTTGAACAGCTAGACCTGTTACTCTTACTGAGGAAACCAAAAGTTTCACCTTCGAAGAAGTAAAGGGGAACAAGTAAAGAGAAGATAAGAAATAGAATACTAGAGAAGACATCAAGAAAAGCAAGGAATACAGTGGAGAAGCATCTATTACATAGTGATGAAACCTGAAGCCCTATTAAAAGTCTAGAATGCTAGCTAATACCTTTCCCTGCTGCTCTCAACAGTCAAATTTGCTGGTAACGTCAAACTTGCTGGTAACGTCGTCACTCACTCTAAGTGACTGATTCTAGTGAAGAATTCAGGAAAAAACAGATCAAAAGAATCTATCAACAGGAAGCAGAATTTCCCTTTGAGTATGATCATTCAGAAACAGCAAATTTAATCTCCAAGGTGAAATAATAGAAGTATACAACAAAGTCTTCTGATATCTGTATTTCTAAAACCACCAGAAACACTTTATATTATGCCAAGTGTACAACTAGGTCCTGTGTTGTTATTTTTTTTTATTGTGAAAATACCGTAGAGAGGGGTTACAATTACATGGGCAAGGTAATGAGTACATTTCTTATCAAGCATTGTTGCCTCCTCCTTTGTTTCCCCTTCCCATCCCTTCCCATCTCCCCCCTCCTCACCCTCCCACCCCGCACCAAAGTTGTAAAGTTCATTTTCAACACAACATCCTGTACATCTCATTGTTGCAATGGGTCCACCTGTATCCCTATTTAAACAATTTGTTTTTTCTCTTCTCAAAAAATTATACCAACATCAAATACAGTGAGAACAGGGGTTATAAGTCATGCGAGTATGTAAGAAAACTGACAGAGATACTGAAGAAGGAAATGAATAGAACATTTAAGAATAAAATCAGATTCTCAAAAGAAGAACATAGCAAATCCAACAGAATTATAATAGCTATTGACAAAAGAAATTAATAGCATTCTTATTGTTGATATTATAAAACTTTTACCCTGTTCCTAAACTCATTTACTGTTCTGGTCTTGAACAAACAAGCAAACAAATTTCCATGCCCACAGTTTAATTATTTAAACAACTTATTTTATGGTAAACCCCAGAATTCATCAGAAGTGGCATGTTTTAATGCTAATTCTAATTAGAACAAGCATTGCATTTTGTATGCTTTCCAATTATGCATGAGAAAAGTCAGCATAAGTGTCCTCTCTTATCATAATTATCTGATTCTAATTTCAATTTTGGCTATGACTTTGCACTCAGTGATGTAAATGTAACTGTTCCTGTCAGATGAAGATTAATTTGATTTAAGGCCTCTTTGTTCTAATTATATATTCTATTTCTGCTCACTATGCAAGTTTCTTTCCAAGGCACATCTGTATTTTATCACAACAATAAGGAAATTCTTTGGTATTTAAAAAGCCACTATAAAATTCTTTTTGGCACCATTAGGACAATTTTCATTATGACTACGCCAAATGGTTTACTATTTCAGCTGAATAATCTACAGGTTAATGTAATTATTATTCATCTATTTAATGCATGAATTAAAAAATGAAGCCTCGAAAAGGTAATGCTTTAATTACTCTAACTCCCTCTATTCCCAAGAAATATTCTCATTTTTAGTTTATTCCCTGAGAAAGTATTTTCTTGGGTGACACCTTGTATGCTCCCTTTCCAACTGGCATCAGTATGATAGGCAGTAGTAAGAATAAAAATTAATCAGCTGGGGATGGAACCATTATCTATCCAAAGGTCCAGAAGTTGAGTGCTCAATTGTTCTTCTTACTATCCTAGCCTGCTGTTTTGTAAAAAGCAGTAGATGGAAAGAAGTGAAATGTTGCAAATTTACCTTTTTAATGATCTCTCCTCATCCATTCAAAATAAAAAGTGTTTAGGATATAACACCACAGATACATATTGGTCTAGGACCCAATGTGCGAAGCCATGTTAATGTTTAACATTTGATAACCATGATTGACATATGTGTAGTAGATGAAGATATTTTCATTGTGATTTGTAATCCCCTGCAAAAGTCTAGGAAGTAAAAAATATGGAGTAGAATTCAATTCAGCCAACATGTTCTATGTGCCCAACACAATTCCAAGTAGTAATTTTCTTTGAGAGGACTATGTTCAAGTTTAGATGTCTTTAGCCTATAAAATGTACTGAGAGTTTCAATACTAATTTTTAATCAATATATGTTGTTTTGACAATAGTCATAATACATTTCTTTTTACATATAAAATAACTCAGCAAAGCACACATGGAGTTTAATAAGTTAGTTGACATGGAAACCCTTATCAGTTAAGCCACAAAGGTCAGTGACTTTGTTCCAACTGCACTTTCATTTGTATATTTTACATGATCAATACTGTTCTGTCACAAAACATATGTGAGGCAGCTTATAGAAATAAACACAGTGTAATGACATCCTAATGGAAGAAATGAGGATGGTGAGATTAGGCTTGGATTAAGTAGCACAAGTGCTTTTTTCGAAAATCCTGGATGCTTAGTCCAGGAAAATCACATAGAAAGCATTTAGTTTCCCAAGGGCCAGAGCAAGAAGGTAGCTTTTGAGAGCTTATCAGATATAAGTGAAGTAATGAATCAGAATGAGTAGGAGTTGTTAAGTTGAAAAGCACTGTTCCTCAGTCAGAGATCTGAAGGATCTTGGCCTTCTTGATCTTCATAGTGGGATGCTACTTGACAGGATGGATTATATCCAAGCTGTATCATGATAGCGTAAGTGACATTCATGATAGCATATAGTGACATTCATAATAGGCAGAGAATGGCGCTTGGAGCTAATGAAGTCAAAATTTGCAGAGAACTGTTCTTGTTCACTTTCTCCGTAATACATTAATCCATGCGACCATTCAATATCACCTGATACTGCACAAAAAAATCTGTTTTGTAGAAGACACTATGTTAGGCTGTGGGGTACCCACAGTGGACGAGACAGACTCAAATGTCACGGGAGCAGGGGCAGTGTGTTCTTCCTGAACTGCTATGTGACCTGCATCCAGATTCATTGCTGGCACAGTCAGGATTCTGCAAGTGCGCATTGAATAAATAAATGAATAAAACTGTGGTCTAAGGAGTCCATTTCTTGTAGGTAATGAACTCAATGTCAGGGCTTAA